AGCCATGTCACGACGTGGCTTTCTTCCTGTATATACAACACATATTTAATTGATACCTTCAATTATTTTGTCAACATTGTACTATTTTCTTTACCACATCATCATCTCATTATGCGTGCCCACTGCGGGCCTCGGAGCCTACCCTTAAGTTAGAGGTAACTAGGCCAGTCAACCACACTGGTCAAGTGCGGGTTGGTTGTCTTCACACATATCTTTAATTTCTTCGCAGATTATGTGCAGATTGAATCATGATGTTTTTCCTTGATCGTAAGAACGTCATAATCGAAAAATACATTGATACATGGTGGGATTCGAACCCAAGACCTGCAGATTACAAGTCAAGTGCTTAACCCCTGAGTCATCGACGTTTCTTACAACACTTATCACAAATTAGAGGAAATATTGAGGTGGCAGGTGACAGGAAAAAAAATATCTTTAAAATAATATCTAGTTGAACTTTAATCATATCCTGTCAGAAACATGCTCACATTTATTACAATTACGTAGAAATCAGCAGTTTATATTTTTGTATTACGATCGATAAGCTGATAATTGATATTTGTTGTCAATGATAAGATTATTACCGCGCGTAGGTAAATGACAATAATTATAACTAAGTGCAAGTTAAGTACATCAGGGGCGCGATAAAACAACCAAGGCGGTGTTCAAATATATCACCTATGTCTACCATTACTCAAGAAAATGTCAACTGGAAATGAAAAATTCAGCGTTAAACAACGTTATGTATTTCAAATTTCTAAAAAGCAAGCAATAAGATATATTACGCTAGATTTATTTCGCAAAGTTTTTCTTACCACGACGACACAGAAGGTAGGCAAGGAGAAGCAATTTCGCGTTTCGTTTGACGATTGTGCGTGCCGAAGGCCTAAATTTTAGACTCTTATCCACCCTATTCTTATAAGAAAAGGGGACAAGAGGCAATACACTTGACGGAGCAGTGAACACATAGAAAGGGGAAATATTATCATCCTGTGCGTCATGTCCTTCAACGCAACGCATCTGCAATTGCTGATGTCTATGGGCAGCGAGCGCCTTGATATTCCGGCGAATTAGCAAGCCGCTTGTTTGTCTGCCACCTTAGAATATAAAAAGTAAAATAAAAAATCACTGTAACTTTCGACCTAAATTGATGCAAAGATTTATTGTGCTGTGTCTTCCCCAGTTCAGTTATCTGATGAACCGCAAAAACCATTATCTTAATCTTTTTAGTAATTTATTATCACATTCAACGATTTCCAAACCACCTCAAACATTAAATAAAGATATCGATAGTACCGTTTTAATTTAATGGGTTTGTTAACTGATGTGATATAAAACAAATGAATACTGGTGTTAGATCTATAGTAGGGGTTTTTATAGATCCTTTTTTCGATCTGGTAAATTACACAGCGTACTACACGCGCAATACGTTGGAGTTCGTCATTGGAACAAATACTTCTGATCATATGTTGCTTTTATTATACGATAAAAAATTATAATAATAAAATGATATCCATGAAGTGTAGCAATCCCAACAAGTAGCTGTTATTCCAATTTCCGCCACTCCACAGATAAGGCAACTAAGATTGTCTCCTCATCATTCAGAATGTTATTTATCACACAATTTAAATACTTTTATTCCACGGATGAAAAATATATGTAGCCATAGAGTTTAAATTTCGAGAAAAGACTATACTGAAAATTCAAACATCTAGTTTCCACGACGAAATTATAGGGGGTTAAAAATGGCCTTAACTGCGAAATGAATGCTACGGCCGTGCCGTTTTTTACTCGACTTGGTTGAGGCTCCACCGTGCTTCCAGATCCCACCACAAACGAATCCAGGGTATACTATTTACACATTTGATTGGTCAGACAATTATTAGAATAAATTTTCTTTAACTTCCTTTCTTCATTCTTAGAACGGAAAATTTTTGTACTGTTATCTTTTTGTTTTAAAAATGATTCATGAATATTACTATCAGCAAAGATTTCGTAATATTAGTATATTTACGTGTCACGTTCGCTTGGGCACTGAAACTTCTTACTAATGTGAACATGGTAATGAACCAAATTAATCGAAAAATTTCAAAATTAGTTGTACTTCATCTGATGAAACCAATTTATTGGAATGTCGAAAGTATATTACCTTCTCTTTCCTCTAGAGTGACTAACCGAGAATGATCCAGCGAGATATCCAGCGTAGAGATGTACTAAAACTTAGTACCTGTCTTCTATACCAGGGTTAGTATCTTAGTAGTAACAAATATTTCATAATTTACATTTATATTGTGATGTCGACAAGATAACCGTTTCTGCTAACATCGATGTACTAAAGCATTTCCGATCAGAGATAATTCAGTTCGATTAAGAATTCAACTTCGACAAATATTGTCATAGAAACAGTTGCCAATCGCATTTATTAACTTAGCTTATTGTAAATCCTTACTGTATTCGGTTATAATGAGTGTAAAACAATATTTTCAAATTGTTTCTTCCAGTCTTCAATTTTATTGTTGGTTTATAAATTTTGATTTTTGTTTAAATACATTACTAGACGTAGTGTTGCAGAACTTCACTTCGCTATATCAGCGATTTCAGGTGGCCGATCGCTCGTTTACCACCTTATGATATAAAAAAAAACTGTTGCTCCTTCTACTACTATTACAAATAATTATACTAGTAAATAGATGTATATGGTAACCATGTGTACAAATTTCGAGATATTTTAAGATGTGAGTTGTAAGGGCTTGTAAATAAAAACGTCGACTTAATTCAATAACCATTACTTTTTACTTGAAAATTTATAACTATTAAACGACAGCTTGTAGTACTTATTATTCACAATACTATCTATTCTAAGGGCTTAGAAATTAAAATCACATTCAAATAATAATTTTAAACTAACAACAGGATTTTTTACAATAAATTAAAATTATTATACTAAAAATCAAATTACAAAATGTCTCATTGTGCAAATGGGCTTTAAGCTGATCAACGTTAATCAATTCAAGGATCTATTCTAAGATCAGGTACAAAATAGCGACAAAAATGAAACATACGTTATAATTCTTTATCATATTTAAATTACAATTTTATAATAATATTATGTCGATAAATATTGTGTCCCATTGTATACCAAATAATCAAACATTACAAAAAACGACGCATACAAAAAAATTCCATGACATTAATTTAAAAAATGTAATTCAATAAATCCCACGGTGACTTAAAATGCTTGCAGTATAAAAACAAAAACGAAGTAAAGAATAACATACTTTTTAAAATATATAAGTAAATCCTCTATCAGATATCTTGCCTACGGTATGCCCTTTTTAAATTAGTAAATAAAATTTATAGTTGCGTCGATACATTATCTTTAAATTTTATGCTTCATTCAGGATTTATTATAATGATATCAAACAAAACAATAGTGACATGGAAATTTACAAGCATTTTCTTAAATGACGTACATCTAAATCTTAGGTGGTGACAAATGTTATCCACATCGCTTTAGTCTTGCAGTTATAAAGTGCAATTAAACTTAGTCATAAACATTAGTATATGTACTTATGATATATAGCTCTTTAATTCACGACGTGTGTTATTTTTAGTAGCAACCGTGATTTCAGACCGCCAAAACATTAATATAAAACATATCGTATCTTCAATAGTCTGCCAATGGTCTAAACACAAACATAAATTTTTATTTTCGATATTTATGAACATGGGCCATAACATGTTTTATACATACGTTTTGGTAGTGCGAATGCACAATGTGTACATAGCATTTTCAAATATATCAGCATTTGTAGTTGTATTTTGCAGATCTTTTCACAATCACAATGTGAACGTCCGCAGTCGTGATTTACAATAACTATCAACTTAAATAATGACGTAATGACCATAAAATAATCAAACCATAAAAGTCGTAGTGCTTATTGTAGAATCACACAATTGTAAGATTATTTACGACTAATTGTGAACAATAGATTTTGAAGCCTATTTCATTTATCTTTTCCCTGATCATGAGGAAGATGTGAAAGATTTTAATTTTCCTGTCCTTGAAAGAGAATAAACCAATTTATTTATAATACCATTGATTTTTTTCCTGAATCTAATCTATTAGTTGTTGCAAAGAATTGTGACGTCATCTATTTTAAACGAATTAAAAAAAACGGATTTAAAAATGCTATTACAATCTTACTACTGTTTGGAAGAAAATCTGAAAATGTGGCAGTGTATTGACGCAATTGACGACGTCTGTGTCCCTCACTATTCATTCTGACACTGGACTTTGTAACGAAAGCACGTCATTCGCGCCAAATGATTCTAATTAATAATGTCTAAAACTACAAGGTCAAACTAATTATTCCCATCGTTATGTTGATGTTCAGTGTAGTAAAAATAATATTGTGAATAAAAAAATAATACGCACCACTTGCATTGTGTGTTGAAATAAGCAAAGCCTTTATCTCTGTTTACATGGCATGCCAATACACACTTAGCTGATAAACTCTATTTTTCATTGAATTTTTTTTCGACATTTACAAAATATAAAATGAACCGATTGACCTCTACAAATGGATAGCTTTTACTTCGATCTTATTTAAAATCATCTTTTGATGTTACATGTTAGTTAAGTCTATCTATTTTAAAAGTTCAAATCCACACCATCGCTACAAACCACTATCATTATCGCCAAAATGGCACAAATCAAATAGTCACAAAATACTACATCTTATAGCCAGTCCATTTATAGAGGTCATTGACCGTTATTATTTCACAAGTATGACATTGACAATCTTCATTTATTGTAAATATAAAAAGTAATATAATCATAAAAATGAAAAAGCGCTGGATATGTTCGTGTAAATCTAAATTATTATTTATGCTCAGACTAACATTCCTACATATTGAAATAAATAAATTCACAGATTTAATATAAATTAAGTGAAGATATTATTTAAACAACAAACATAATTATGCACAAATTTCCTTTAATTTAAAGGAAATTACTTGAAATAACTCAATATTAAAAATAATATACATGTCTTGAAATTGTACAACTATTGGTGGAAAAAATATATTCATTTCTGTGAGACACTCCTTACTTTTAAGACTATATTAAAAGTGCCCCACAATTTAATTAAAATTCACAGATAAATTAAGCTAATTGAAACTAAAATCATATACTTTTATAAGTGTCTTAGCCACATTAACTAAACAGGCATCATGGGTAGACAGGGTGTTTCTTGGTGGGCCAAAGGGTCAAAAGAATCAATTGACCCAACGAAAAAAAAAACATTTTCCAATCAAATTCGAACACCCAACAAAACATCCTGTACACACTTTCAAAAATATGCTATTGTGGACATATTTAGTGTGTATTTTAAATATATTATCCTTAGCCCCATTGTATGGTCCTTATAAAAATGACGAGATCTTTTGAATGAAATATTAATAACCAGGATTTCAAACAGAAAATTGGTAATTTGTGTAAAAAAAATCAACAATTAATACTATTGATTCACATGTTCAGTTTTCGCTATGTACCACAATATTTCTAATACTGGTAATTATAATATGTATATAATTATATAATACATAAAAGTACCATGAACTATTTTACATAGACATTGTTTTCTCACCATCTTAAATAACTATTTGTAATGTGATTATGGCCATTAAATTAAGAGATCATCCTTTAAGTAAAAAGAGGATTTATGTAAGTAGGGATTTTATTCAGATATAAAGACAGATTGATCTGTAAGATAACATTAAGTGTTCAATGATATAAGAAAAAAAGGGAAATGATGATGTTAACAGTAGAAAATTGCTTCATTGAGTTTTTTGTAGGTCAACATTTATGTTATTATAGTAATACAAAATACATTCTTCATAATACAATAACGAAATTATCAAAATCTTCAAGAATAATATCAGATAAACAGTTTATTTATATGAAAATTTGTGCTTGTTAAAGAAGTTTTGGCTAGTATAATTTATGCTTGTGAACATTATGTATATTTGAATTCTAATCAACTAATTAAGGTGAATTATAAATGTTGGAAAAATACAATCATCGGGAATTAGCTTTATAAATTAACTTTAAATTTTAACCTACTTCTATGATAATGATTGCTCTTTAAATATCTTATTATATGGTAATTAATATTTAATTCTTTGGTACAAAAAAACATTTATGTTTGCTTTTATAATCATCCATAAACCATACACAAAAAGCAGCAATTATTCCCTTGCAAACATACAATCAGTCATAATCACATTAAGTATTTTGTGCACTTATCTAGTGACTATAAATTTTAAATGTACAAAAATAAAAAAGCTATACTGTCACAGGAATCTTAACTTCTTTGTTGACTATATAAAATTTGTGCTTCTTGCCTAAAACACCCCATATTACTGCTATATTTTCTATTATAATATTAATTGGAATGGTAGCTAACGCCCCACATACAAACAAACAAAATTTCAAGGGGCCAAATCTATAAATGGGGAAAGACTTTATGACACCAAAAATGTACATATAAATATTTACAGCACCAATGAAGCCGCAAACGAAATCTAGAAATTGTGGACATGGTATTGGACAGAGTGCGGCTAATAACATATTACTAGTTGATAATGGCAGTGTGACCCATGAGTAACAAGAGATACCTAGAAACACCTTATTAATTAAAGGAATTTCTTTACTGTGTACCACTAAAAGAATACCTTGAATCCAACGTTTTCTCTGCTGCATAAAATCCCATAAGGTGAAAGGTGATTTTTCCCACATTTCTCCTTCAATAAAATTAAAAGTATAGCCTTCCATATAAGCCTTCATAGCAAAATAACAGTCCTCAGCTACAGACCCATCTAAACCATTATCAAATGATATTTTCTTTTCTGCACCAACCTTAAATAAATAAAATAAATTATCTTAGAAAACCATGTCATCATTGCAAAGTTTACAAATGTAGATAAATTTAAATTTACAGTAAAATAATCAAAGTATTCATATAAAACATACCTGTGTTACGACATAAGAACCTTTCCAGCTAAATAGTGGCTTATGAAAAAAGTAGAATTGAAATCTAAGCTTTCCCATATCATCTGCAACTCTGAAACTGTCTGCCAGAGTAGTAAGCCAATTGACTATTTGTTCATTAGCATAAGTAATAAGTCCTTGGCCAAACTGATGTTGACCATCAAAAACAAAATTGAGTATACCACGCACAGAATTCTCCGTCAACAATGTTTCTTCATCCAAGTGGACAATCCAGTCAGTATCAGCAAGAATGTTTACATCATCTTCTAAACAATATTGTAATGCACGGGATTTAAATAAAGCACCAGTTTTAGTCTTATATTCAGATGGGACCACCACTTCTCGTACTCTGCGATGCTTTGGCAAACTAATAACTTTGTCGGTAACAACTTCTATCATAAAATTTTCCATTCCCACATCAACACATGTATTCATATTTCGTGTTACATTATCCCGTACAAGCTTTGGAAAGTCACCTCTTGTAACTACTCTAATGCAAATAAAAGGTGCTAATAATGGCGACCCTTTCAATTTCACTTTACCAGGAAAAGCATTAAATAATGTCAATCCTGCAAAATTGCAGAGAACTTGTGGTATTGTTAGTAACGTTAGGAGTCTAAGAACATAAAGAGTAATGGTTCCATAAATTCCATATTCTTCCCATGGATCAATAATTCTCTTTTCTTTATCATCCAAACTTATAGCACCAGCAAATACCAAAAAAATAAATATAAATGTCATAAAAAATAGACAATGAAGTAAATGTTGCACCCTTCCTCTCAGCATTCTGAAACAAAAAAAAGTCTTAGTACATGCAAAACTTAAAAAGTGTACATCATTTGTATGTTTTTAATGCTATGACAATTTTTTCCTCATCCTCATTATTTTCAAGATGTTTTAATATATTGATTTATAAAATCCAAGGTCTATAACAATTAAATCCAGGAAGAATACGAAGCGAATGACACTTTACGCTTCAAAATCAATCAAGCCATTTCGGCTGCAAGCGGTCAACGGGAACAAACTCTCGAAAAACATTACCCCAAGTAAGCCCTATGTAAGTCGGAGTTGCAATGCAAATCCCTTATAAAGATAACCTACTCCTTAAAATAAACCGTTCAGTTGGTTGAATTTAAAGCCTGTTTTTACATACGTACTGCAAGATTCGTGTTAATTTTTAATAAATGTTGAAAAAATCAACTTTATTGCTTACCTTTTATTGATGCCAATTCTTCAGCAAATAAAATGTAAAGTTCACAGGAAACTACCGCTACGGTTAACTGTGATATGTATTAAATAATTGTTATAAAACACACGCATATCAACATGCACACAAAAAACAAATTAAAATATTAAATAATTATTTTCTAGATAAATGAAAACTCAGAACTCACACACACCCAACCCACTAACTGACATTGAAAATTGAAATTGAAACAAAGATTAAAAGACAGACGACAGACTTTTGAAATTGAAAACACAGATAAGATAGGAAAGGGACCTCTGTTGATCAGTTGATCACTTTACTATTTATAGCAGGTAAGAATTGTATGAAAACGTAATTGAAGAATTAATACTAAAATATAAAATATTATACTAACCACATGTATCTTCATACTCTACATTTTAACTTATTTTTATGTTAATAAACGTGTAAAACTTTATATTTCACGTTAGGGTGACACAAAATTTTAAGGGCATTCAGGCATTCGATAACAACCGTAAAATGTATGGATATAACATATTATTGAAGACGTTTTTTTGTGATTTCAAAGTGAAAAACGAATGTAAACCTGTTATTTTTATTGCCTCAAGAACATTATATGTCTATATTCGTTTATAATAGAAACCGATAAATGAACTTATCGGTTTCCATAACATTCAAATGAACAACTCTATATGTCAATATGTCAGATTTCTGGTGATGTCTCCTTGATATCTACTGTCATTGCATTGTGTGAATGGTGGAGTGGACTATGAATGGATTTTTGTTCGCTATTAAATATTGTTTACTTGCATATTTTCAAGAATATTAAATATAATTTGCATAAGAATGATAGAAAAATATGTGATGTTAAACATTTCATCTTTTCAAATCAACGTTCAATGTCTTTAATACAATGCTGAGTCAAAATGTTCAAAACTGCTGCTGGAAGAGAAAGTGTCTCAAATAAATAACGGGTCGATATGAATATGTCCGTCTCAGAATTATCTGTGGGATGTCGTTTTGCTGATTATTTCGCGATATGTGGACTAGACTTTGACTCCGGTTTGGAACCAGACAGGCTTTGTGGTGAATATTTAACATTGTAGCCATTAAAATATCTTTGTTTTACGTTACGTTACGCTTCAATAATAATATTCTTTTTATAGGTGATAACTTACATATATCTCCTTTAGATCGCTCCTATAAGGGAAAAATCTTAGCTCACTATCCAGACAATGTGAACAGTAATCCTTTTGATGAGCATGCAGTTTGTATGGTAAGTTTTGTGGCTATAAATTTTGTTAACTTAACATCTTTTTTTCGGATCTTAGGTTTCAAATTATAAAAAATGTGGGGAAGTTATTATTTATCATCTTATTTCTGAAGAAAAAGAAAGCTTCTGTGTTGACTAATTTTGATTCATTGTCTATTCCATCAATTTATGAGTATTAGGAGGTGGATTATCTATATTTTATTTCACTGCCTACTCTAGTAATATTTATATGTCATTTATTTACTGTGCTGCATACTCAGGATAAATACAGTTTTCATATTTATATAAAGTAAAAATGTGCATATAATATGTTTTGGTTGTTTACAATGACCAAGACCAAGAATATTATGGATCAAATGTATTAAAAATCACATTGCATTATTTTTGTATATGAAAATTGAACATGTAAGTTAATAGTAATAGTTTTATTGTAGTAGTGCAATAAATTATTTTTTGCAGCTATGTTTGCCTGCTGGCTTACAGTTTAGAACCCAAAAACATTCTCTAGAACCAAAGTTTCATAGCTTTGTTGTAACACGTGAAAATGCATCCCGTTACTATGGATTCAGTCTTATATTCTATGAAGAAGTTAGAAACCGGAATATTTGCAGTGCCATGCATACATTGCAGGTATGATCATTTATTAGAGCAGGTATTGTTTTAAATGTTAGAATTTTAAGAAATAATTTTGTACTATAATAAATTAAATTTTCAGGCAATGTACATCACAGAATTGTCAAGTGGTCAAACTCCACCTGGCAACAGAAAAAGCTCTGGCAAAGAAAGTTCTAGATCTTTGCCAAGATCATTTAAACTTGCACCGCACACTGGAGCAGCACTTACATATTATGATATAACCAAAGATAAACTTTATGTTGCTAAAAGCATTGCTCTTATATGTCAATACCCCTATGTAAGGGTAGCACAATTATTTTTAGAGAATTTGTTCAGGTAAGTTGTTTTGTGCTACTTCAGTTTATTCATCACACTTTGCTTGAACATTGCCCCAAATTGAGATCCATGGACTCTGCCTAACCTGATGTTATGTTGTTTTTGTACTTGTTGTTTACATAAGACATGTTTAGATGATGAGATCTAGGGATGAATCTCTTTTTATCGGTTTCCACAATATGTTTTATTGTAACCACTACTTCTGTAACAATTTGTCGAATAATTTTTTTTTAAATATGAGCACTTTGAATTGCATTGAATTAGTTTTTTTGAAAACAATATTTTCTTATTTAGGTCATTGCCAAGACAACCTGGGCCAGGACTTAGTCCAGAGTCCTATGTTTACAACTTGTTGTACGAAGTGCCTGTCCCTCTCGCAGGACAGGCTTTACGCTTGTATGTACCACCGTCTGAACCTCATCTGGATCCAATCCCAGTTGTAAGTAACCTTTTTTTACTCTGTACATGGTTTTTATATAAATTGTATTTATATACACACTACAAATAGCTCAATCAATGAGAAATACGTTTAATAAACTTGAAAAAAAGACTTCATAGTATTACACAACAAAATAGTTTATTCTTGCTGTATCATAAATATGTACAGACTTACTTTATACTATCTTACTAATATTAAAAATGAGATTCTTAGATGGATGGATGGATGTTTCTTTGAAGGTATAGCCAGAACAACTGAAAGGATCTCGTTGAAATTTGGCATGCATATAAAACATGACATAAAAGAAAATATAGGCTACTTGTTATGTTTTTTTTTAATTCTGGATGGAGTCGCGGTCGAAATAAAAGAAGTGCGGTAGTTTAACACTAAAATTTGTTTCAGGTGATAAGAATGCCAAATCCTCCAGAGGAGTTACCACTTCTTGATTATTCTTTGCGTGTAATGTTCTCTACTTTAGGTGTTGAATGTGTTGTACAGCTGTTTACATGTGTACTGTTGGAGCACCAAGTATTACTTAGGTCTAGTGGTATGTATTACAATATTATACCTTTATCTTTGCCTTTTTCTATTACTATATCCTTTTTGTTGATGTCAGTGATCACTTTGGCAAAGTAAATTACACATCTTTTTTTATTTATTTTTTAGAATAGGATAAGATTCCGTTTAAATACTTAAATTATATAGTGACATACAAGATTATGTTCTTATATATATTTTTATTTATTATTTACATATTTATTTTTATATATTATAATTATATTTTTTTATTAATATTTGTTGCTTCTGTCAAATGATCTAAATATAGAAGTAGTAAATCAGATGTGGAATATGATTAATATTTTATGTTCCAGATTACAACAAGCTGATGCTTGTGTCCGAGTGTATAGTTTCACTTTTGCTTCCATTCTCGTGGGCTCACGTCTATGTGCCTATTCTCCCAGCGCCTTTATATCATTTTCTTGATGCACCAGTTCCTTTTGTAATGGGTAAGTTTTTGGATATTGTGTTTTTTTAGATTGATGGAATAAAGAACTACACACACACATACACACACAACATCCAACAATGAAATGGTCAAATCATTGTTTTAGCCAAATGAAATGACTAAAAGAACTCTATATTATTTACATAAACACCATTATTCAGGTCTTCATGCGGATAGTGTGGCTATAAGTATCGGTCCTAATGGGCCAAGGAGTTTTGCTGTTGGTTCAGAAGCGGCACTTTGTTTAGTGGATATAGACAAACCTGATATACAACTGCCGGAAGAAATGCCCATATTCCCTCACAGGACGCCTTTCATAGAAGAACTCAACCATGTCTTGGATAAACATCAGGTATTCTTTGTCTTTTTATAATAGTTCTCGTCCGCCACTTTGCTCGCTCAGAATTAAAGAAATTTTATAAGTATATCCTATATCACCTGGGATTGGCTATGTAGCCAACAGCGAAAAAAAATTCAATTTTAAGTTAGTAGTAGTAAGTTAAAAAAGTTTAGTACTTTCGGTGCCTATTCAATGTAAACAAACAAACAATCAAATTTTTCTTGTACAATATTGATATAGATTTTTGTCATCTTACCTCTTACTAATATTATAAATGCCAATGAGTAGATAGATGGATGGATGGATGGATATTCATGTGAAGGTATTTCCAGAGCGGCTGCACGGATCTCGGTGAAATTTGTCATACATATAGAACATATTCCGGAAAATAGGCTAATAATAAATATTTTTATAATTCCGTACGGACAGAGTCGCGGGTGACAGCTAGTTTTTAAATAAATTAATCTGTGTGACTATTATTTGTAATTCATACCAATATATTGTGTTTTATTGCTACAGATACAGAGACCTGAAACTGAATCGAGTAAACTCGGTGTACCCATCAATGGTACATACAAACATATGAACGATGGAATGAGCAGTAGCTGTACATTGCCATCGGGTAAGTAATAAAATGACACTTTAATAGTTCATACTATACTGTTTGTTACTACAATATATGTATGTTACTAGATTCCTTTGTTCTTTTTATGATGTTTTTATAAATTGAACAGCCAGTTGTCTGTTGCTTTATTCAGGTCTTATGTTTATTTATTAATTTCACAGAACTTGCAGTCTAGGTGCAATAATTATAATTGCCCGCACCTGTGTTCATTTCATACCTTTCCATATATGTAAAGATTGATGTTAATAATATAATTTACATAATTAGAAATAGAGATAATTGCAATATATATTTATTACTAACATACAGGGTGATGTCGACCTGTGGGTCGATATATCCCACATTGAAATGACTTAAAATGTCAACACTCTATAACATATTTAGACCAAATAGGTGGCCTAGGTAGTACATTTTAAGCTTCCCATTAGGAAGAAAGAGATATACATATATTAAGTCCTTTTCCCAACCTTTCCTTATAAGGAAAGGGTACTTTCCTAAGGAGAAAGAGGAGATAAGCGATGTTGATGCATATAAAGGGGAAATATTCTCTTTCTCTGCGTCCTTTTCTCCTTTGATTAAACGCATATGCAACTGCGAATGTATACGGGCTGCGATCACTTCGCTACTTCGGCGAATTTTATATATATACGGCGAATGTTTGACACTTTGGTAAGTGATACATTATCGTTGTATGTAGGAGGTTTACGTCGTAAGCACTCGTTCCATGACGTGTTGGAGTGGGACGAGAGTCGGCCTCTGAACGCCTCCCCGCCCGGCTCACCCGCGCCCGGCTCGCCCACACGCCGCGCCCCCAGACGTATGGACGCCCTGCAACGTATCGTCGATATTGTTAAACGAACAGGTGAATTGTCTTACTTATTACTATATTCAATATACCTATTACTAAAGATTAGATGGATGGATGTTTGTTAGAAGGTAATCTCGCTGAAATTTGTCATAATTAAAAAAATAATAATTCCGCGCGGCGAGTCGCGGGCCTCAGCTAGTATATCAAATTCGTGACAGATTAAAAATCTAGAATAAACGCCACATCTCTAGGATGATTTAAGCAATCCATTTTAAACGTATAAATTTAGGAATATGAACACTGAACTGTCGTTTTACTAATATTATATTACAATGAACTTCAGTGGACAAAGAGAATTCTAAGTATTTATTGACATATAAAACTTATAAATAATATTAAACGTGCTTAAAACGTGATATTCGGTTTAAATCTACGAAATCCATTAACATATTTATTAGAGTCGCCAAGTTGAATCTATTTGACCCGAACGAGTCAATGACATTGTGTAGACGTATTAGCATTGATTTGTCTATGCTCGAACCAGTTTATTAATACTTTGTCCCCAGACAAAGACTTTGGGGCGATGCTCTCTAATAACATTGACAATCAAACTAATTCTATACTTTTT